ACATGATACTTCATTATACTTAAATCCCTTTCCTTGGAGGAAAGGAGTATGTATTGTTCTGACCAGCCCTCAAAGCCCTCGGAAAATGTCGCTCCGGATCTGCTCTTGTATTTTTCCAAATAATTGATGATGCGAAATCTTTACTCCAAAACCAAGTCAGTGCATCCCAGACTCTGAAACTTTTACATAACTTAAAAGGCCAGGCTTGGGCGCTCCATTGACGATGACAGTTACGACATGTCACTTCTTCCGATATTCCCATTACCCTACGGGCGACCAGCGCAAAATCGAACGAAGTTCATGTTGAAGTCAACTCAGTGCGTTTGCAGGTTTTCGTGGCTCGTGTCTCGGTATCTTCTCTCTGCTTCTGTCCAAAGGGAGATGACAACTGAGGGACAAAACGGGGGAAGCATTTGCTACCCCTATCCAGAAATATATTTATGTCGTCAAAAGGCAGCAATCACAGCAACGCAGAACCAGAGGCAGTCATGTCATGTGGATTGGGTCAGGGGGTCTGTTCGTTTTGCAGAGATCTGGATCTCGATCAGCGATTCCATTGGTGGTTTGCTCCATCCCTTAGGCGAGTATTGGTGTCAGTGAACCAACGATCGCGATCCAGATCCACGTGAAACAAACTGGCCCAAAGTGCAAACTAGCGGACGCTACTGTTCATTTTTTTTTCATTCGGTATTTGGTAAGATTTTTACCACTGTCGCTTCTTTTTTTCACATTCTGGAAGAAAGTGGGTTCACTGCACGTAAACAACGAAATGGGGGATACATGATTCGACTACTATACACTTGACCCGCGCTCCAAACTCCAATCTCCGGTTCTCGTTCAGTCTGGACAGTGACGTCACACAGGCCCACAACCGACGCCGCGAAAGGTGACCACTGTTGCGACACATGTTTCTGTTCAAGGTCGCGAAAACGCCCCAGATTTTCGAAGACAATCACTTCGTGATGGGCGCCATTTTTTTACGCAAAAGGGAGGGGGGTTAGCAGCCGACCATTAACCAATCATCGGCCTTGGTGTTATTACCCATAAAGATTGTGTCACAATTTCACTAGGGGAGGGGTATGATAAGCTGGCATTCGGTCACCACACTTGAACGCGCGCGTAAAGAGTTGGCTTCCGACAAACAAGCAATAATCGAGCTTCATCCTTTACCGGTGAGATTAATGTAACGCTGTGCTTGGATTGTCACTTGGGTAGTCCGAAATATCAAGATCGAATGAACACAAAAGTCGTCCCGAGGCAGTTTCCTGAGGGATGACATTTACTTAACTTTCCAGATTTGGACGTGATATTTATGTCTCTGAATTCTGTTTTTGACCCTTTTATGAGTTCACTAGAATGGATATTTCCCAAGGGTCGCACAAGGTACAGATTATCATTGCTTTGCGTTTATGAATGCAGTTTTCTGAGCCTTTCACTAAAAAACCCAATCAGCATCTAAACAGACGGAATTGCAATACAGTAACCCCGAAAAGTTCAGATGGATTTATGTGGTTAAATAGCTCCATGGTTATGACAGGAAGGCACTCATGATTGCCCGAGACAGACAGGCAATCTGGATCTATGCACCCCGATGTGTACGTGGCATGGATGTACGTGGAAGAATCCCAAGTACGATCGATAAAGAATAGGAGCTGCACGTGCAGGTTAGGGACCTCCGTTTATCTGAAAGGGGGGGGCGTGGTAAACGACGAAGGAGGGGAACGTAGCGCTCTTATCATAATGATATCCCTTTCTCAATGTTGCATTGAATACAAAATTTGTTTCAAAAATGAAAATCATTTTATTAAAATACTGAAAGACGAGTTCTGAACAAAATTTAGTAGAAGATACGAACATACAAACAATTAACAAACAAAAGCTCTCCGGAATAGGATGAAAAAACATACTAACATGTAAGCTTATCAAATGTCATGGGCACGAGTTTGCCTGAAAAAAAGGGTAAAAAAATTACTGACATATACACGTTGATGTGTTTATTGTTTAATCATTTTTTGCGCGCCAAAATTATCACAGGTCTTACTTTACAAATTCTGTGTGTCAGAGGGGCACCTTAATGGATGATAACTGTTGGAAAGAAAAAGCTGAATTGGTGTGAAATACTTCTGGAAAGTGACACAGCTGCATTTGAGCTGGCTTGTCATGAATATTTCTGAAAACCAAGTCTCCTGTAATCTCGTGAAAATTCCAAATACAACAAATCATTTTGTTCAATTATTCTTTGTGTTGGTCGGAAAGTCGCTTTGAAAATAGAATCATTCTGAATTCAATGAAGTATTTTATAAGTGAAAAAAAATTATAATCTCGGGTCGGTGCAAAACCATCAATTCGGTTGTCCTTTCCCGACCCTTTATAAAGGTCGCCAACTTCGGCACGCTGTACCACCGGGACAGGAAATGATCTCAACGGTCAATGCTCACCGGGTTCGTCCCGGCAGTGATACCGGGTGGAATCTCGCACGTCGACCCTCGCCATTAACGTCTCCCCTGGGATCACCCACATCGCGTGAATCATTTCATCGGCCGGCATTCCAGGCGAAATATGGCACCACCTGGCCTTCGTAGGAATTTCCGCATACAACTACACAATGTCTGGTGCTTCCAACGATCCCTCGGTTGTCTTGACATCCATGCCCCTTTTTCAAGTCGGCCCGTTTCTTGCCACCTCTACAGGTTTTGTCCCATCACCGGTAGGACGCTGACAGTGTTTTAGCCGGTTTAGTGTGCAGTCCGTCCGCCGGCCCTTCCCATTGATTCTCATTCATCCATACTTTCAACAACCATCATGTGTTATCTCGCTGCTCATGCATAGGCCCACTTTGTTAAAAGGACGCATGTATGTATAGCTGTAGGCTATACATGTAGTAAGATTACCCTGTCCACGAAGTTCCTGCACCCTATTCGTGCCAACGTCCCTTCTTCCTCAATAACCTCCATTCATCCGGCGATGGCGAATGGCATATGTAGCCTACTCCACACCAGTTCAAGCCCCATTAAAAGCATTATAAAAATAACTGAGTTCGGGGCTAAATGAAAGCCGACTTCGCTGGGGTTTCTGAAAGAATATTTAATACTGCCTGTTCCTTCATCTTCCGTTTCTTTGTCAATTTTTGGTGGATTGGCCAGTTGCATTTACACTTTTAAATATTTTCACAAAAATAAACTCCCCCCCTGAAAGCTGATAGTTCCAAAGCCTGCATGCAGCCATTTTACAAATGGCATCCCTCAACTTTCTCAGGTAAATAGGACCCAATTTTCGACGGTAATTTTTATCCAGTCTTCCTTCAGACGGAAGCCCTCCAAACCAGGAAGTTGATTCAGGGCTACATTTACACAATCCCACCATTTTTTCAGCCAAACAATCTCCTCTCTTTTTTTCAAAAAAATGAATGATGGAGATATGTTTCTACGTTCATGAGTTAGTGCAGAAAATCCCTCGACCGTCTACCATACTAATACCATTTCCGTGTCTCGTTCCTTTCACAATGCCAATATGGAGATCCTCTGTCTGTATTCTGCCCATAAAAATTCCCGCTGTCAGCTTCTAATGTTGCATTGTCTCAATCATTGAAATCATCAGATCTTCCGCCCCTCACTCTTGGGTGGATATCGGAGTTTCCCCTTCTGCAGAAGGAAGTTATCTCTCGCTACGGGTAATATACCCCAAGTCAGCTCCTTGATGCTCGCCAAAGGTTCAGCTAGTCAAACGCAGCTCACGCTAATTTCACAAGATTTTTCCTCTCTGAGAAGCATCAATCATTGAATCGCTGATATCCTTTCCTTGTCTCAAATTTAGCGTCCGCAAATGCAACATCAGCAGCCGGGGTAGTTTCCGTCCCTATACAATCTAACCCGTCACTTGGCACATCTCTTTTAAATTGGCGCCGTTTCTAGTGGTGAAGGGAATTGCCTGTTTACCGGATCATCTCTTGGCGATTGCCAATGAGTCACTCGAACTCTTTGTGACCCGAGCACAATAGGTCTGCTCATTAGAAACGGCAGGGGTTGGAGGTTCGGGTGCTGAAGTTTTCCCTCTCCATACTGTACAGTAACTCACAGCGTGATCGGATTGGAAGCAATTTGGAGGTATAACCAAAAACGCTGGGCAATTTTGTTTGTATTTGTGCCCAGCGTTGGGTGGTGAATCGCCTAACTGCTGGGCAAATAGATTACCCAATCGCGTTGATTCTCTCCTTAAATATGGGCAAACTTGTCTCGTTTTACAAAACGGTTATAGAAAACGTTGTTTTACTGCCATTTTTACCCAGTATTTAGCCCAACGATTTAGCGATTCAACGTTGGTACCCAAGGTTGAGGAAATACATTGCTCGGCATTTTTATAGAACGCAACCTTCCCACAAATTAGAAATATTGTTTATTCGGAGTGTTCTCGGGTCAAATCTGATGTCCATAATATTGGAATGTTACGAAAATACCAAACTCTTTTGTACCTAATACAAACAGGCACGTGTGTGGGGACTTTTCGTGTTTTGTGCAAGTTGAAAATCCCTGTTGAAGTTCAATTGTGTAAAATCGATCATGTGCGAGTTTGTTTTCATTGTAAGCAGGTTACCAAATTGCAGATCCAGAACCAATTTTTTTGGGGAGGGGTGTTTTTCAAGGTAGGGTTAAAACAGAAGTGTTTGTTGTAACAGTTATTTGCCTTTCTAACGGATTTTGGATCTTTTGACAAGCTAGGGAAAGAAATGAAGAAAAAATTGCCCATGAAATCTTCTTCCTCTCATCCTATTTCAAAATAAAATAAACCCCCTTTGGAATGAGGGGGTATGACGCCCTTTCCCCCCACCCTGGACCCGCCAAACGGCTACCATGTCGAAAAAGACAGTAATGTTTTTCGTGGGAGACTTCCGCAACGGCAAAATGTACTACTCGTATATAACATATTCAGTTGTCCGTCACGCTGTTTCACATGGAGCATTTATCATGTCCTATTCATCTGGGATCGATTCAAGATTAACTTACCGCTCTTGCCAACGCCGCTCACGCCAGTCACAGCTATTTTGACCTCCGTCTGTGACCCACTTTTCTTCCGTCTGCCAAAGGGGCTTGACGTGCTCATGGTGCGTGAGACTTTGGCAGAATTCGTCCAGAAATGGGTGCCAACATGAACCGATGGACGGCTGCCGAAATTTGCTACGAGAGTCCACCCAAGAACGTAAAATGTAGCAACGTGTTTATTTTCTACAAACGTGTTCACATAGCAGTGGTAATCAGAAAGTTTGTCTTGCTGGTGGAGCCTTGCTGCATGTGGAAATGTACTTAGAAATAACTGTCTGCTTCCTCCGTGTCCAACTCCGTTCAAGCGGATAAAATAGACGTAGCTCGTGGAACAAAGGTTGCTGGCCAAGGCCACTATGTCGAACCCAAGTACATTATTTACTGCAGATATCCGCTGGTTCATTTCGTGGGGGGAGCATAATTGAGAATTATGGTTCCATTACGGAGACAATCTTAATGCCATTGATGTCACAGGAAGCAATGGGATAGTACCGACTTTAAAAGGAGCCACAAAAGTGGAGACACCAGTCCTGACTCAGTCAATGCACTATATCGTCCCATCCGGCCGACATGCCGCCGACAAGAAGGAACGTGAATGATTGCAGGTTTATAGCCGGTCGTGGCTGATACTGGCGCAGGGGTGAATGCCCATGTGCTCCAGGCAATGTGTGATGTAAACCCCATTAGGCCTGCACATCTTATCTTGCCGAGTTCTCTGTCTTACTCGCGTCCGATAAGTCGTGAATGGAGATGTCTGGAGACAAACCCTCGGGTGGGAGAACGAAAGATGTCAATCCATCCCGTTCTGGATGATGCGGCATTCCTGCGGAGAAACTGCCAGTAAACTGATGCACAGAAAAATCCGGACCGTCAGTTTTGACGTGGGGATAGTTCTCCGCACTGCATCGTAGCTCATTCTCGAGTCACGCTCCTCTGGATGTTTGCTTAGCCTCGTCCTGAGTCGTCACTCCTTTTGTGCGCTGTCAACTGAGCATGCAGAGGAGACTGTACCCAAAATGCCACCGCTTGAAAGAAGCAATCATCAGCACAGTCCTGTTTGCTTCTTATTCAAATGGCCACAGCAGTTGTCCCGGTCTTTTTAGATGAGCCCACAAGGTTCATGCTTCGCCCTTGATGGTACCAGCGGGTTACCGCACGTGAATACGGCTCCTTTCCACTTAAGTGTATCAAGTGTGCGCATGCATGTCGTAGTGGCCCACCAATCACGACCACGGTGGGATAAATCTTGTTGCTTTCATCTCTGGGATGAGCTTTATACGAAGTGCTGTAACGTCAAGGAAAAACCTTGTTTCCGATATATTTAGCGCTTTCTTATATGATTCAAGTATATAGTTTCATTACGTCTGCGCAAATATCACAGTAAATACTCAACACATGATTTATTCACATTATACATTTTAAAATAGCTTTTCCAAAGAAGCAATTAGCTTGGCATCTGCAATTTACTATAGCACATTATTAAAACTAAATCGGTGAATTATTTACGCGTTGAAAATCTTGCTTGCAGACCTCGTTAAAATTGCTCTCAATGAATACAGTGACTGAAAATGTGTTACAGTTGAGTGGTTAAGGATTGTGATTTCTGAATCTTGGGCTGTCTCTGCCCTTTGTATGTTTACATAAACGTAAATACATGTATGTGACATGCCGTCAATCACATGTTTTTTCAGTAAATATAGCCGAAACAGCAAAAACCACAGCGAAATCTTAATTCACAAAATAAACTCTTAAGATACGTAATGGCATAGACCATCAGCGCCTGCGTGCATCCATACTATTCATCACACAAAACATCCATTTTGTGCCCAGAAGCAGGGAACAGCTGTTGACATCCTCCCTCTATCGTTTTCTCTCGACGACAATAGAGGAAGGCGCCCGCTGTTGTTCCACAACAAGATAAAGTAAAAGGGTTGGATGAAAACTGATTCCAAGCTAAATGCCGAAATCGTGCAGCGGAAATGCTGTTAGCAGGCGTTTACCCCCAACTGAGCGATGGTCCTTAAGTTTGTGTATGTTTGTTTTTGTCTAGTGCATCTCACACAACCATCACGTCGTTCCAATGCGATTCACCACGTAAAATGTACCCTTGGCACCGGCTCTCTGTGTAGACCCTATGATCGCAGCAATAGCTCTTGACCATTCCGAAATAGTATTAGCATTTTTATGCACTGAAAATAAGTTTTATCTGAATTCTGTTCATAAAGATATAAAGAAAAAATTACATCAACCACAAAAAGGAACGTGCTTAAATCTTTCAATTGTGATATCCATTCCATGTCATGAAGCCTTTTCTAACAGTGCTGTTAATCAAACCCTGCAAATTACATGTGAAAATGACCAACCAGGACAATAATTTTGGTGGAGAGCAATGGACGGATGGACGGAGGGGCAAAACGAGCCAAAATCTGTTTTGGCTCACTGCGCCCCCAGCGATCGAGTTTAACGACGGATGCTGAACGTTATGAGGGCGCACATCGGATGGGCCGTACGTATAGCATCAAAATGGCTGTGTACTGTGCAGACGCAGTACAACATGCAGCATGTCCAGCAGTTGAGACACCCATATCGCAGCTCTGTTATAAACAGCTCTGGAACCGTACAGAGCTGGGACCGTAAACTGTGACCCCCCCCCGGAAGCGATCTTCCAGTGACTGAATGAGCCAAGCTGTGATTGCCCCCGTACACTCGGACTAAAGTCGCGTTGTACACCAGATTGTGGATAGCGCCGGGACATAAATTACGTGTGACTTGATTCCCAGACAGTCTGAAATAATCTTCACTGACATTAACTGTGTTTTTGGGTCCCACCGCGTTGTCTCACCGAAGCTCATGACTACTTACCTGACTACAATGAACTTTAGAAGGCGTATATATTGAACATACGGCAAAATATCGCCTTTAAGACCTTTCTAAAACCAGTTATTATTCCTTTCCTCCAAAGACTTCCTCCACGTCACCCATGGTACTTCATTCAGGTCAACATGGTAGATAATTGGATAATTCTTTGTGGAAGATCTTGGCATGGTTTTGTCAAAATGACTATCGAATCATCAAGTGTCGTAGAAAACTGATCGGCTCAAATTCTCGGGTTGGTAGATCAGGAACTCAAGAATGTCAATATTTGCACAACAAAAAGTCTAGGAATCACATCTTCAAGGTGCAGTGGAGTTTTGCATAATTCCTGGGCAGTGGCGTATCCGGCGAGGGAGGGGGGGGGGGCAACTTCCCCCTTCCCCCGACGGAATTTTTTTTCCAGAGAATATTTCATAGGTGAGTAGGAATGAAAGTAATTGGTGTGTTTATTTATCAAATATTAGCACTAAAACCCTAAGAAAACAACACCAGCAAATAAAAGCATGGATGTCGGGACCGTGAGCAAGGCTTTTGATTTTTTTCTCTCAAAAATTGTGTTGAATGAGCCCGAAGCCGCATTCGCTTTTGTATCCCCTCGACACTAGAAGTTGGATACGCCGCTGTTCTTGGGGTACTTTCCATTGCCTGAGGTAAGATTGAGAAGAAACAGTCACATTCAATAATCGACCAGGTAAGAAGTCCGGACTGCAAGTGTCTGACGCCTTCTGATTTTCCTGTGGGTTGTGCAACTTTTCTTGATACTGTTTTGGGAAAAAAAGTAGAGCTGATGGGACTTGCCGCAGTGGAGCCCGACTGCCGGTCCATTTTGTCTTTACCAGAATGAACGACAACTTGGATATTCGTTGAATACAGCCATAATGTATCCTTGTCATCCGATTTTCTATTGTCATTGCTTGTTATGTGAATAATACAGACTTTATGCGTATGCGTCATGGCTGTCTCATCCACGGTTGTAGGTTGGAGCCCAGATGCTAAAAGTGATATAGGCCTAAATGTAGAATTATTGGTCTGTGTTGCTTGTTTGTTCCGTTAACAGGAATTGCCAGACAATTACATCGTGCCCTGTTTTCCTCTTACAGTTGTTATACAGGATAGTTTAACTTTTATGGGGTTGTGTATCCGTTGGATGACAGTTTGACAAAATGAAGGATATAAACGTATCAAATACACTGGATTTTAAAAAATTGCGAATGGACAGTGTAAAATCGTATCAATTCTACAGGGAATTTCAAGACTAACTGCATAGTCGACAAAGTCAGTAGTTTTTGCGTGAATACTATGCATTAATTTATTTCAACCATCAGTTCGAAATAAAAGGTTTACGGTCTTTTTAAAGTCACTTTTGGCAAGCAAAGGCCATGTTTATGACACATTGCCGGCCTGTGCCCTTTAAGGCCACTTCCAAACGGCATCGTGGCAATTAACGGGCATTAAGCACCATTAGCCTCATCCTCCAGTCGCATTGTCTAGTTCTTAGGAGTCTATTGTTTTTTGGAGACTTCCAATTACAATTTCAACGGAAGCTAGCAATATAACGTAATACTATTAAGCGGTATCACCCCCAACACGAAACTTATATAAGCCATGAAGTTGCAGACAGGACAGCTCTCATCTGCCAACTGTTAACTTCTACTGCCAAACGGTGAATCTTTAATTACTACCGAGTTGTTGGTAATCCACAGTTCAAATCAGCTACCCACACGGCTGCAAGAAATCCATTACGTAAAATGATGACATCGGTAAGTTTTTGTCAGATTTACTTGACTCAGTGTTGGTACAGCTCAGCGACGATAACGCGGCATACTCTGTCGAGCTAATGGCCTTGCCGTGCTAAATTAAATTTGCCGAGCTGAATTGCGCCAAACGTTGTGCTATTGCCATGCCAAACTTTAAACAAAAATGAATTGTTTGCGATCGGCATGGCAGTGGCACGGCGTATAGCCTGGGCCTAAGATCGACTACATTTTCCGATGACACCTTTCCACATTTATGACATCAACCAATCGGAAATCGATATCACCTCATGTTTGTAACTTAAAGAAAGCACGTCCTGTGTAGTTTGAATCTAATTAGCCTCTAATGTGTATACTATGGTATGGTGTACTATTTACGACACACATTTCTTTCCCTCTTTAGTGTCCCTCCAGGCGACGCAACTACACGACGCGACGGCACGACGGCTCCCTTGCGTCGTGCCGTCGGGCCGCACCATCGCCTTCTTGCCATTACGTTTGTACACACATGACGCGTCGCTTCGTGCGTCGCGTCGTCCCGTCGCCCGCCGCGTCGTGCGGTCTTACGTCCTTTCCTTGTTGCATTTTTTCTGCCTAAACGTCGCCCCTTCCGTCGCCCGTCGTGCCGCATCGTACGTCGCGTCGTGCATTGCGTCGCCTATTACGTCGCCTGAAGCACGACGCACGACGCGACGCGTCGTGTACTGTCGCCCTTTGCTTCATGGTGTTCATAGAGGGCGCCTTTACTGTTTTCTTTCATTTCCTTCCCCCGTGCTTGCAAAGTACATGCTATTCGCTGTTTGGTGTTGATTTTTCCTTGTTTTTATCTCATCCATTCATCAGATAGGACTTTCTGTCATATTTTATAAAATGAAAAAAAGAGCAAAAAGAAAATCAGAATATGCAGGAACTGCTCTCTCAAAATACGTGGAAACCGGAAGCCCAGATTTCGTCACTCTTTAATTACCCAACCAATGATTTATTTTGTCTTCTTTTATTTCCGTCCATTACCGTCTTGCAAAATACATGCCCTGAGCCGCAGGCGTTGGGTCTTTTGGGAGGGGGGTTGTTTCACCATTCATCAATTATTCAAATTTTGAATCAGTTTCTGTCATATTTTATTGGAAAAAAAGAAAAAGAGCAAAAAGAAAATCTGCTCTCACATAATAAGCGTAAGCCCAGAATTCGTCACTCTTTAATTTCCCGGCCGATCCTTGTTCGAATGCCCGTCCAATTTCTTTCTAAGACCATTGATGAAGTTCCAATTTGTGGTAGATTTGTAACCTTATAAATATTCCCTGTGGTCCATGTCAGCAAATTTCCAAGTAGTTCTCCCACTCCTCCAGACAATTTGTCTACAATTGTGCGACCGAAAGTTTAACCACGGGTTTAGGTAGTTACCATCCAGCCTGCACTATATTATTACCCTCAGAATATTCCAGCTTCAGTCTTCCTTCGGTTCAGTCTTCCTCGTTAACTTCATCAGCATCACACTTTCAATGGTAACAGTCCGTGTTTCTTAACAAAACACTGTAGATCCTACTACCACTGTGACGGAGTCTTTTTGTCCAATTCCGTTTGCCACTCTCATAATTTCTCATCAGATTCGCATCTTA